CCATCATCCCAGAAAGGTCTGTGGGAGAGCACTGTTCTTTATCTTGATTGTGGTGGTGGTTACATGGGTGTGTAAGTTTGCCAAAACTTATGAAAATGTATGAGCTGGGTACAATTTATTGTATGTACATTGTATCTCAACAAAATTAGTTTTTATTTATTTTTTTTAAAGATTTTATTTATTTATTTGAGAGAGAGAGATTGAGAGACAGAGAGCACGAGAGGGAAGAGGGCAGAGGGAGAAGCAGACCCCCTGCCGAGCAGGGAGCCCGATACGGGACTCGATCCCGGGACTCCAGGATCATGACCTGAGCCGAAGGCAGTCACTTAACCAACTGAGCCACCCAGGCGCCCAACAAAATTAGTTTTTAAAAAAATAAAGAAAGAGAACACCTATAGACGAGAAGAGAATTCAGAAATAGAACATCTGATTGCAAATACATGTACCCTGTTTGGATCCTGATTCAAACAAACTATACTTATAAAACAACAACAAAAAAATTGAACATAATTAGAGACTTGGAGATTATTAAGGAATAATTGTTGATTTTTATAGTGTGTTTTGGAGGTGCATTCTGAAATACTTATGGATGAAATGATCTAGTGTGGATAGGGGGTTATTATCCTGTTCTCCACACTTCTGTTTATTGCCAATTTTCCATAATCAAATGTTTAAAACCTCACTTCCTCAGAGGCCTCCCCTGCCCACCCTGTCTAAGGTAGATTATCTCTCCTCATTATTTTCTAGCATGCATGCTATTAGCTTCATGGCACTTCCCACAATGTGATTTTACATTATCTAATTTATTTCTCTCCACTAAAATTTAGTTTTCCCGAGAATAAAAACCTTGTCGTCCACACTGGACGAGGGCTGGGGCTGGTGCACAACAGTGGTTTGTGCTAAAGGACAGAAGCACAGGCTGGGCTTGACATGACAAATACATTCATAACCACACCCTTCCCAGAGATACCAGAAGAGGGGAGCTTTGAAAGGAAGGGAGATTCAATCATCAACCCTCGGGGTCATGCAGCGGGCTGACTTTGGGTTCAGCTGTTTCTCCAACTGTATGAGAAAAAGAAATTAGATTCACCAGGTTTTTTAGCCATGAATCTTTTCTTTGAACCAAATCTCCCGAGACAACCCAATACGTAAAATAGAAAAACACAATTGTCAAAAGCAGGTTTATTATCATAATTCAAACACAAAAGAAAAAAAATCACCCAGTGGTTATGAGGAGTCCAGGAAAACCTGTCCCAGTAATGCCAACTTGGAGGTAAAGGGCTGACTCGGGCAGCTGAGCAGTGGGATTTTCTGCTTGGCAGGCTTCTTCTCCCTCGCCTGGTCTTGGTTTTCGGGTGAGGAGAACGTGCCTGGTCCTGTTGGCGGTTGCCACGGCCCCGAGCTCATCGTTTTTTTCTGAAATCTCGACCTGTTCCGTTTGAGGGAGTAGAATTCCCTCATCAAGTCTTCCACTTCCCACTGCTCTTCCTTCAGCCTCCGGCAACAATGCAGGGCGGCGGGGTCGATGGGGTGCGCTTCTGTGTTGAAGATGTAACCCCCGGCCCCCAGGATGCATTCCCCATAGGGGGTTATCACCGCGTCGAAGGTGGAGCCATTGTTGTGGATGAAGTTGGCCGGGTCGAACAGAAGGTAGAGGTATTTCACGGTCTCAGCCAGGAAGAAAGACTCCATGCGGTTGTCCAGCTTGTGGTCTCGCAGATCTTTGATCTGCCACGAGGAAGAGGGAAGCGAGTCAGACCCAGCGTCATGGGGTAGCAGAGGGGGCCGGGGGCCCACATCAGGAATTCCTGCTCTGCCACTGAGCAGCTGAGTGCCAACCCCAGGTGTTGCAACCCTCAAGCAGAGGTAGAGGGTAAGGCTTAGCTGTCACTCCTCCAGTGAAAACCCTGCTGACATTCCACTTCATGTAGACTCTCAAACCAAAGTCCTTATCATGATAAGGCCTCACAGGTCCTCCAGGTCTGTCCCCTGCTCTCTCCCTGACCCCTCTGAGGCTCTCCCTTGTTCTTGCCGGTCCAGCCATTGGGCTTTCTGTTCAGTTGGCAAGAGCGCGCACTCCTGCCCCAGGAGCTCCGCATTGCTTGTTCTTTCAGCCTGGAGCACGCTGTCCTTCAGACAGCTCACTCCCTCACTGCCTTCAGCTCTCTGCTCAGATACCCTCTCATCACAGGGTCTTCCCTGACCTCTCCAGGTGACAGGACAGTTCCTATCCCCTTTATCCTACCTTTGTTGTGACCATACACAGATCGAGTCATCCCCTTTACTGACACTGTAAAAATGTAGCGTCATTTACTTAGCTAATCCCCTTTGATGGGCATGAAGTTGGTTACCAAGTTTTTGCTACTGTAATAACTAATTAGAAGTCTTTATGAAGAAAAATTCATACTAAGGTTACAGCCATGGATGAGTAAGTTTACTTCCTACATTTATATTCACGTCTCAGAATTAGAGATACATTTTCTTAAAACTAATTCTCAGTGGACAACTATTTTTCACAAAAAAATGTGACTAAAATATGGACTTATGTACCAAGAATTATTATTTGTCAAAGGCCAAGGAGTCTGATGCCTATTCCCATCATTTGCCTTGGAAGACCTCCAGAGGGCTTTCATTTTCATGGAAATAAGTCAAATGTTCTTAAGAAGTCCCCAGTGGACTTATCCACTTTGGCTTTTCACAAAATACAACACATTAGACACTAAAACATATCACTGCTTTATTTTCCCTCTACATACATAGGTCTTTTTAAAAAATATATATTCTACTTGTAGAATACAACCACATTACAAAATTTTGAAAAAGAAGGCTTTTTTTTGGTCTGTTTTTAATCCCATACCCTAAAAACCCTCTGTATACTTTTTGGTGAATTTTCTTCCAGACAATTTTCTTACACATCTGGTTTTTACATGTCTGTAATGATAGTTTATTTATAGCTTGCCTGCTTGGGTCCTCTAAGGATGTGACATGGCTCTTAACCTTGACCCTTTCAATTCCTTTTCACTGGGGAAGCCAGAGTGATCTTTCTAAAATACAAGTCAGATCATGTCACTGCTCTGCTGTCAGTCCTACAAAGGCTTCTCATTTTAAGCAGAACAAAATGTAAACTCTCCCCAGCCCTACACGATCTGGCCCCTGCCTCCCTCTGGGACTTCTCTCTTCTCCCCTTCCCTCCTTGCTCACTCCATTCCAGCCACACTGGCCTTCTTTCTGTCTCCCAGATGCATGTTTGTTGTTTTTCCTACTAAAATGTCAGCTCAGGGGCTTGGTCTTTGTTCATTGCTAGAACCCTCGGTCTAGCATAGTGCCTGGTGCATAAAAGACATTCAGTAAACACCTAGTAGTGAAACTACTAGGACTATTTCATTAAGGACCCCCAGGTTTGAATATAAGGCTATGGGACTCTGTTTCCCTTCTAGAATCCACCTTACAGGACTTTCCACAAAACTTTTCACAAAATATACCCTTGTAAAATAAAGGTGTATGTACATCTCTCTAAGGTCCCTTCAGTGTTAATATTCCAGAGGCTCCTTAGCAGCAGGGGGAGACACTTCTCAACTCTTGGGCCCATGAAAACACTTACTGTTGCAAATCCACACTCCACCTTGCTGATTTTTTCGATAGATTCCACAGCATCTCTTCCGAGTTCTAAGAGGGTGGGATCCCCCGTGGCACGGTAGAGGTACATTGCACTCTCAATGAGTTCTGTGAAGTCCAAGGCAGACCCTTCTCATCCAGGGGCTGAGCTGGGAAGGCTCAGGGCCCATTTCAGGCAGTGAGAGATTCCTCCCCTCCACACCTTGTCCACAGGGCCCCAACCAGGAGGAATACAGGATAGCTCACACAGTGCTGAATTTCCACAGTCAATATACTCAAAGCCTGAAGCTTAGTGGAGATCAGCATTAAAACTGACCACAAACTCCCATCCCAAGGGAGAGAAAGGCAGCTAGGTTCTGGGAGGGGGAGGTGGCAAAGGCTACTCCCTGTCTCCCAGTATTTGTCCCCTCCTTCTTCCCTTAGTAACAGAATCCTTAACTAGAGCTCACAACTGCTTAGACTGACAACTCTTCCAGTAGCCAGGTGTGAGGTTAAGGTCCCTGACACCACAGAGAGACACATAAGGCCAGAAGTGAGAGAAAAATAAATGTCTACCTTAATTAAGCTACTACTCATTTTCTGTCACTCATAGCCTAACCTGACCCTAAAACTAAAACTCAATGACTTGAGCGTGAGGCCCTTTCTGAGATGGGATGGACAAAAAAGATGAAGGTTAAGGGGCGCCTGGGTGCCTCAGTCGTTAAGCATCTGCCTTTGGCTCAGGTCATGATCCCAGGGTCCTGGGATCGAGCCCCGCATCGGGCTCCCTGCTCAGCGGGAAGCCTGCTTCTCCCTCCCCCGCTTCCCCTGCTTGTGTTCCCTCTCTCGCTGTGTCTCTCTCTGTCAAATAAATAAGATTAAAAAAAAAAAAAAAAGATGAAGGTTAAGATATTCAAGAGCCAATCTTCAATCTAACAAAGAAATAGCCACCAGTTCACTGGCCCCAGAACAAAGTAATAGTCTCGTCTGACTCTACAAACCCAACTGGAATTTGACATTCAGACATGCGCCCCATTTTCAGATGAATATTAGGCAATAGGAGTTGATCCCAATGAGAAAGTTTATTCTGGAGAAAAGAAAACCCAGGAAGATGTGTTTACTGCTTTCAAATATCTGAAGAGCTAGTATGGAATAGAAAGATTTGACTTCCAGGGTGGCCCCAGTGGAGGAGGGTACAGCTTAACAGACTTTTCTATTTCTTCACCCGTCTCTTCTCAGAGAGGAGAGAACCCTCCCCTCCCTAGACCAACCTCTCCTCCTGATCTCCTGCCCTGTTTCCTCCTGGCCCTTGATCAGTACTTTTCTCCCCTTTTGATTTATTACTGCAAACTCTATTTCTTACTTTCGAAAAAAGATCTCTGCCTGTCTCCCAGTTCTCCCCCACCTCTCCCTCCCTTTACCCCACAGGTCTCTAGACAATTGCTAATCTGATTGCTCGTATTCTAAGGCATAGGTGGGGGCACATTTACTAGTAAGAGAACACACTGTGTGAGTTCAAAGAAAAGATAGTGCTTCGGGGAAGCCTCTTGTCCTGCTGCTAGCAGCTGGCTGGCTCAGTGCACCCCGGGCCCAGCCATCTTGTTTTCTCTTCCCCATACATGGGTCTACATCGGCTGTCATTGCTTTAATTTCTTGTATATTGGCCAACTGCCTGAACAGGGTGACAGCCCAAGGCTTAGATTGGACTTAGGGGGAGGTAAAGGCCCTCAGAGACCTTTAGGCCAGGTTCTGTGCTTCAATACTGCCAATCAGAGGCACGTACCAGAGTGTAAAGACACTGGTCAATCTAATGAAAGAGCAGTACCTTATCTCCCATTCGCTATTGTTTTGGGGCAGGAAGGGTGACCGGACTAAGGCATTACTGGATTCCTGGCTATGCTGCCTTACTTTCCACTGATGCCGTCCGGCCAGCCTACCCTGCAAATGAACAGGGTGCCTCTGGAAATAATGAGCTCCCTGTCACTGGTGTTAACTGAACGAAGACCAGATAACCACTTGTACAATGACAGGGGATCTCAATTAGAAGGCTCTCAGGCTCCTTCTAACCCTGAGAATGCACAAGCCTACGTCCTACGTTTAGTCCCAAACTGTCTTCATTTTATCTATTGGTAACACTGGGTATGACACCTTCTGAGAGTTTTCTCTTAAAAAAAAAAAGGACAAGACAGGACAGGAAAGGAAAGGAAAAGAAGAGAAAAGAAAAAGCTGTGAGAATAAATACATGAGAAATACCAAGAGCAGCCTCGAGGAATCAAAGTGACTAACTTGCTGTTGCTGTTTTACTCCCTCTTCTGTCCCCTCCACAACTCCCACGACAATCTCTTGAGCTAGAGGAGGAAGGAAATGGGGTAGAGGAGGGCAGAATGGGCAGAAGTCACCAGAAGGCCTGTCCCACAGCTCAAAGGCATTCAGGTGGGAAGGTGGGAAGAGCCTAACAATGGAAATGTAACCCATTTTGGGGTGGGGAATGACTATGTGTGCTGACTAAGCTTCCTTCCTCTGGCCCCCTTCCCCTTCTCCTCCTTGCAGTGTTTAACTTTCCTGCAGTGAATCAGAGAATCAGAGCTGGAAAGGAACTCTAAGACAGTTATCGAGTGTGTAATACCTTCCTTCTCCACGCCTTGATTTCTGAGCTGCAAATGGGGAGGTGGACAAGACCGGATGATTCATTCCTAAGGTCCATTCCAGAGTTCTAACATTCCATATTATAGAGGCATAACTCCCCTGACCCAGTGACTTAGAAGTTTGTCTACGCTTCTGAAATCCTGATGGCAAGAACTCAAAAGGAGTCAACCTGGCTCTTCCCTTTGCACTCACTTGCCCGAGTTTGAAGGAGCCTAAAATTTAGTTAAGAGGCCTGGGTTCCAGTCCTACATCGTACACTTAGTCTTGGGAAAGCCAGCTCAAACCCCTAAGCTTCAGTTTCCTTATCAGAAAATATATGGGTAAACAATTCCTACCAGGAAAACCACCCAGAGCCACTTCCATCAGATGGGGAAAAATTAGCTGTGAGCACTTGTGAGACATGGAGCCTCATAGAAACGTGAGGGCTTGGGGTTCAGAGAACCAGAGCCTGCGGGTTGTGATGGGCCAGAGATCCTGCTTACCTGGCCGAAGAGGGTAGCCCTCTCGCTTCTCCACTGTGTATCCCTGCGGAATGTTGTAGAATTCTGGGAGCCCCCCAAACTGCTTCCATACAGTATAGTAGTTGAGGAAGGTCCTCATGGCATTGTCAATGTCCCCAATGAGGCTCTGCAGGAGAGAAGTGGTTGTCAAACGGGCAGCCACCAGGCATAAAAACCCATATACAAAAAAACTCCATGTACCAAACCTCACACACAACCTCGGGGAAGAAACAGCAAAGGCTTTAGAGCCACAAAAGCCTGCGATCAAACCGAGTCAGCCATTTATTCATTGTTTGGCCCTGGGCCAGACACTTACCTTCTCTGAGCCTCATCTCTCTGATGCAAAACACAAAGCCTCTAAGTTACTGTGAGGGACAGAGGTTGTATTCAAAGTCCCTGCTCAGTCAATGCTGGCCACTACAGTTTTTTTTTTTAAATATTTTATTTATTTATTTGAGACAGAGAGAATGAGAAAGAGAGAGCACATGAGAGGGGGGAGGGTCAGAGGCAGAAGGCAGGGAGCCCGAGGCGGGACTCGATCCAGGGACTCCAGGATCATGACCTGAGCCGAAGGCAGTCGCTTAACCAACTGAGCCACCCAGGCGCCCTGGCCACTACAGTTTTTAAATAGCTAAGTCAGCTATCTGTTTCAAAATTTTAAGAATAAGAAAAAGGTTGATCTTACTAAGTCTCATTCCTACCCATACCGCAGATGAATTTGTAGTAGTTTATAAACATAAATATGTGTGAGAGTATATTATTTTCCCCCACATAAAAATCACTTATTAAATATACAGTTCTGTACTTTCTTTGATCCATTTAACAACAGATCTTGATTTTTCATGTAAGTACATAAAAAGCTCTCTCCTCCTGTTTACACAGTTGCATAGTATTCCACTGCTTGGACCATGATTTTACTAGTTCTCTATTAACAGCCAGCTGGATTGGTTCCAATGTTTTGCTATTTGCTAGAACAACCAATAGTGTAGTAAATAACCTTGTACATATGCACCTCAAACATATGCAAAGTTTACTTGTAAGACAAATGTCCAGAATCAGGATTGCTGGGCCTGAAAGTATACCCATTTGTAGTTTTACTAGCTGTTGCTAAGTAGCTATTAATAATAATATAAGCTTGCAGGGAAACAGCTTTTTGACATCTGACATTTTTGACATCTCCTTTGGATGCCTCGTGGATAGGACAAACTTAACATTTCCCAAAGTTCTTGGTTCCCTCGCTTTCCCACAAAGTTGCCTCCCTACTGTCACCTCTCCCTTCTTAGTAAATGGCACTTAACAAATGATGGTCATCCTTGACTCCTCCCTTCCCCCCACCCCCACATCCATTCCATCAGCAACTCCTGTTAATTCCATTTCTAAACCATCACGATTTGTCTCTGTATCTCCAGTGCCGCCACCTGGTCTGGTCACCAGCATCTCCCCCTGGGATCACTTCCACAGTCCTCTCACTGCCCCCACCACTTGTCCTCATGCCCCTCTCCAGTGCACTCTCCCCACACAGCCACAGTAACTGCCTTCCTACAGACACCGGACCTCAGGGCTTCCCAGGGGCCCGGCATAAAGTCCAGACACCTGCCCACGGCCCTCAAGGCTCTGCACGACCTGGGAGCTTCTGACCTCCACTGACTGATCTTTCCCTCCCCTGGACTGTGGCCATCCTGCTTTTCTTTGTTTCTGATAAACACCCAACTCTTTCCTGTCTCAGGACCTTCACACATGATATTTCCGCCGTCTGGAACATCATCCCCCACGTCGGATTCTTGAAATACAGCTTTACTATCACATCTCTGACAGGCCTTCTTCCCTCAAGTTTAGGTCCCCATCCAACATTCTCTCTCAGCCTCTCATTTTGTTTCCTTCATTGAGATTTACTATTTCATGCATTTGTCCACTTTATTTTTTATTTTGTGTCTCACACTCTATAAACTGAACAAGGGCAGCGCCTGGAACACAGCAGGCATTCAAATATTCGTTGAATAAATGAATGAACAAATTGAACATATCTAAGCCTCCTTTCTTCATCTATAAAGCAAAATTTACCTCCGTGTGTTGTGATAATTCTGTGTAAAGTGCCTGGCACATAAATCATTCTCTTATAAATATTTATCACCTCCATGTGCCAGTCACACACACTACAAGGCCCTGACTAGATGTTCAATAAATGTTAGTTATTAGTGTTTTTTAGAATCTCACAGAGAACGAACCCATGATCCCTGGTCAAGCCAGGAAAAAATACCACACCAACGGAGATGAAACTCTTTCTTTCCTTATCACACCCTCTTTTATTTTCTTAATTTTTATTTTAGGAAATTTGAAAAATAAAAGTATAAAAAAAGTCACCTTTAACCTCACCACACAGATAACATAGTTTTGATATCTACCTTTCCAATTTATATTCTATTCAGAGTTATAGAAATATTTTTTTAAAGCGTACAGGAATAAAAAGGTAATCACCTTCTTAATCTTACAGTAGCAGTCGTTTACATTTTTGTCTTCTATTCCTTAACATATAAAACCAAAATTCTAGAGTTGTAATCAGTTTACACATAATATAATGCCTTTGTGTGTATTTTGTTATTGTTAAATCTACTCAAGAGACATTTTTTTAAAAATTTAATTATCACTCCTAATTTCTCACTACAGTCCAACAGTATGTTTCATTCTTCACATTTTCTTGATTCTTGTTCACTATCTCTTCATGTAACACAGGAGTTTACATATTAATTTTTTAAAGTTGTAAAATGATCCATTCCATTAAAATATCATTCATTTGTTCCCCCATTAGTGGGCATTTTGATCATTTCTAGGTTTTCTTTGTCATGAACTTTGCTGCTAGGAATATCTGTATACATGATGCATCTTTCCCTCTTGAATTATTTTCTTGGGGAACATGCACAGAAATGGAATTTCGCAGGGTCAAAGGGTGTGATCAGTAACATGGCTAGGTTATACAAGGTTTCCCAAGAGGAATGTAGTCACAAATAGTTTTAACACAACAGATTTCCAGATCCTCTACTTTCCTAAAATGGATCTGCCTGAAAAGACGCTTGTTAACACAAAGGCAGGCTATCTATTATCACTTTTTCCTTCACAGTTAGCCTTCTGCCATTTTACCTTCTGCAAGGTGTACCTACCAGCAATCTCTAACCTTCCTGTGGAACACTGTCCTGGGGAATAAAGACTTCCTGAGCACCAAACTAGGTTAAGTTTAAAATACTGGTGTAGGTGTTGAAAAAATGGAATGACTCTAATCACTGTGTAACAATTCTTTTGCATATCAGATGGTTCCAATACTCTGCCTTCAAAAAACTAGAGGAGGAACTGGTCAAGTTGTCAGCGGAGGGATCATTAAAAATGTTTTTTGATGACAGATCATATGATTATTTTCATCATATAAAGAATGAACCATATAACATTGCCATTTGTGTAGGTCAAACAGTGGAATACTGGCAATTTTATATGGTTCAATCTATTAAATCAATGACTGCAAAGAACTGAATGATGGGCACCTGGGTGGCTCAGTCGGTTAAGCATCCAACTCTTGATTTAGGCTCAGGTCATGATCTCAGGGTCGTGAGATGGAGCCCTGAAGGCTCTGCACTGGGCGTGGAGCCTGCTTAAGACTCTCTCTCCCTCCGTGCACCCCGCCCCCCCCGGCCACGCTCAAAAAGAAAAGAACTGAATGACATTGCAATAATCAAACTCTTTCCACTCCTATCTACTTATTTATGTGCATGAGACTCCTCAGCACTTACATCTAAAAAAATGAAAAGAGGGCGCCTGGGTGGCTCAGTTGGTTAAGCGACTGCCTTCGGCTCAGGTCATGATCCTGGAGTCCCTGGATCGAGTCCCGCATCGGGCTCCCTGCTCGGCAGGGAGTCTGCTTCTCCCTCTGACCCTCCCCCCTCTCATATGCTCTCTCTCTCTCATAAATAAATAAATAAAATCTTTAAAAAAAAAAAAAATGAAAAGAGGAATAAAACTTTTGATACATAACCATGTCCCATTTTAGCAATATGAATTATTCACACACAAATACGCAAATTACTTAAAAATAAAAAAGCCCCTGAAATCTCATTAAGACATGTATTTCTGATTAAATTGCCTTTATGTTTTATAATTATTTATCGAAAACTGTAAGCTATTAATGTTGCTTTACTCATTTACATACTAATGATAACCAAGTCAAGAAGAAAACAAATTTAATACTCAGAGCCTATGGTCACAGGAAATTTTAAAGTATTTTAAATTTCTATGTATACCGAAATTTTATTACAAAGACATAAGAGGGTATCAGTAAAATTTATCTAGCATAAAATAGAACAAATAGGATAAAATCCTGTTGGGGGAGGAGAATGAAAAATATGAGTTCAAGGAGAAAAAGGGATGGTATACGACTATTTAAACTCATAAGATTAAAAACACACAGGGGACGCCATAGTTCTTCAAAATTCTTTTGGTGGGCACTCAAGCAAAAAACATGAGTATCTTAGAAAGAGCTGGACCTATATTTAATATTGTCAACAAGTTTTCTCTGAGCCTGTTCCCCATCTGTAAAAGAAGAAGGCTGGCTAAAAGTGCACAATGGGGGACTAGTACACGAATTGCAGTATGTCAATTGAATGGAAAATATGCATCTGTTAAAAACTAAAACTGAGGGGTGCCTGGGTGGCTCAGTCAGTTAAGCGTCTGCCTTTCGCTCAGGTCATGATACCAGAGTCCTGGGATGGGGCCCGCATTGGGCTCCTTGCTCACTGGGGAGTCTGCTTCTCCCTCTGCCCCTCCCTTCTGCTCATGCTCTCTCTCTCTCTCAAATAAATAAAATCTTAAAAAAAAAAAAAAGTAAAACTGACCTATATGTATCAATAAAGAATGATCTCCAAGACATATTCAGTGAAAAAGTACATGATATATTCCTATCTATGTAAAGAAAAAAAGGTAGATATAAATATGCATGTGTTTATGCATATGGATTTCTAGAAAGGTATACAGTAAACTGGTAATAGGAGCTGGACTGGGGAGGGGTTTGAGGGTGGGAGCTCGAGATTTACCTTTCACTGTATTCCTTGGTGTGCTTTTAAAATTTACTACCATCTACACGTTATTACCTTTTCTTAAAATAAAAAAAGAAACTAGCTTATAAAAATATTGTGGTATACATAGGGGGCTGGTTAGATGGGCTCCAGGATCCGGCCCTCCCAGCTGTGACTCCATCAGATCATGCAATGGAAAACAATAATGATGGCACGCAGGGCAGCCCCAGCTGCTTTCACACCCTTTCTCAGACCCGCTGTCAAGATTGAGGAGATTTGACAGAAATGTCCAGTGGAGAAACAGTTGTTGCCAATGGCTGTTACCACCCAGCCTGGAAAGACACCTTCTACTTTAAGTGGTATCACATTTCACAGCAAACTGGAAGCTCAGTTCCTGACACCTTAAAGCTCCCTTTGGAAAATTCAGCTTGGCAGAATCTTAAGTCTAATTCACTCTAGGTCTCTGTTCTGTCTCCAGCCCAAGCACTCAAGCAACTGAAATACTTTATTTGACTTATACATCAGAATGAGCCTGTTTTGTCGGTCCCAGAAAAAAATGTCCACCCCTCCGATCATTCCTACCTGAAGACCAGGCCAATAGGCCTCTAGGGACTGGAAGACTGGCATGGACACAGTCCCCTTGTACATCTGCACCCACAGGTACCAGTCATCGAAGCGGGTGTAATTCCGAATGGCTTTGTTATATTCTGCAAAGGAGATGCAATAAGACACATCAGTGATTATGGAGTCGAAAGGCAGGTCTTGACCACAGAAGCATGGACTTACACTTTCGGAAGACCATATGATGGTCAAAGCAGACTAGGAAGCAACAAGGCACAGAGGAAGGAGCATGGGTTCTGGAGCTAAACTTCCAGACTCAACTTCCAGCTCCAGCCTTACCACTTGCTAGCTACAATCTTGGGTAAGGTTTTCCTTCTTAAGGCTCAGTCTCATTATCTCTAAAGTGGGGAGAGTAATCTGTATACACCTCATGGGATTGTTCAGTCATTCATTCACTCAACAATATTCACTGCACATCTACTAGGTACGAGTACCTACAGGGTGGCAAACAAGACAAAAATGCAGGCCTGGGGAACTTACATTCTAGTGGGAACTTGAATTTATACCTCTCCCTAGACTGTAAATCCATGAAGGGCAGGACTTTGTTTTGTTCATTGTGGAATCCTCAACACTAGGATAGTGCATAATAAATATGCACAATAAATTATTATCTAAATGAAGTACCAAATACACAGGCAAATAAATAAGACAATCTCAAATAGTGCTGTAAGGATGAAATGAAATAGTCCATGTTTGGTGCTTGGTGTGGTACTTGACCCATCAATGGTACTCACTAAGTATCTGCTGAATAAATAAGTGGTAGCTATAATAATAGTTATTATTAGGTGCCCAACAATTCCTCAATTTCATTATTATTAGTGTCCAAGGGCCTAGAGGGTAAAACGCTTTTATTCAACAGGCATTAATCAACTACCTACCTCATGCAAAGCACTGTGGGAAATATACAGATGAATAAGGCATAGACACTGCACTTGGTAGGAAGAGCTGTTAACTGTGGATGACAGCTGACTGCACAAAAGGTGCTGAAGGCCCTAAATCCTAAGGAGGGATCAAGCTACTTTGTGGGCAAGGTGACATTTCAGCTGGGCCTTAAAGGGTGAATAAGATTTGGACACATGAGGACAGGAAAAAAGGTATTCTAGGCAAAGGGAACACATGTGCAATGGCCAGGAAATAAGAAACCCAGGGCTACACACAGAGAACGCAGCATAGTTCACGTGGCTCTTGCAGGAAGGCCTAAAGAGGTCCCAATGGGCACCGAGGAGGCAGTGGTAAGTCTATGCTGGCTCTGAATACAGACTCAGGCACTCAGAACTAAGTCTGTAGGCACTTGGGAGCAACTGAAAGTTTATAAATAAACCACATGTAAATGGGAGAAATCATGGCAAAAGCCTCCTTACCCCGCCCTTTTTACCTAGGAACATGGCCATGAGTTTCTTATCCTGAAGCAAAATGGCTCCTTTCACCAGGTACTCAAAGTAGGAGTCCACGCCAGCCCCGATGCCTGAGTCCTGCGCCACCCACTTTCCAGTGAGCACATCGATATGGTTGCCAACCTGGGAGGAGAGAAAGAGACAGACAGACACACACACACACACACACACACACACACACAGAGTCCCAAGGGAGGGCTCAAGACCAAACAAGGATCTCCCCATACCCCTGACTGGCCAGTCAGATGCAAGGCAGACACCCCAGTACCCTTGGGAGACATGCAGGCTATCAGGGTGTGGGGCTGGGAGGCCACAAACTCCTATCAGTATCTGTCACTGATTTTGAGAACTGCTCCAGGTAGCATTAAGTCCCGGAACTTCCAGCTAAAGGCAAGCAGAGCAGGCTCCGGGCACCACAGAAAGTAGGGAAAGAGATACAGTCGAAAGACAGGCCAGTGTGCACAGAGAGATGGTAAGGGCTGAGAGGATATGGAGTCCACTGCGGTTCCAGTGCTGGAGAAAAACCTGCTTGTGTTGGACAGGGAGTTACTATAGGTCTCCAGAGTGGCATCTTCTTAAGGGATTTTCAAGGATTCCTCATACAAGTTTCACTTTTCAAGCTTAGAACCAGACTTGCATAAAATGTGTCCCTGCTTGAATCACTTTCAGACAACTCAATCTTTCCAAGTCATAATGACTCACCAAAGGAACTATTAATACATCAACTTTACTGCTCCAGTAACTGAGGATCAGAGAGGTTGAGTGACTTGTCCAGGGTCACAAAGTTTCGATGTAGCAAGGCCAAGACCAATTCTGACCAAACCTAGTGCTATTTCCTGGATAGCTTTGGCTCAATTACTGTTAGTTTCACTGGACTATCTGATTTAAGAGCTGAAACCAACCTTAGAGATCATCTGGCTCAAAGGTTAATAGGTATTGGAGAAGAAAGGGAAGCTCTAGGGTCAAATAAGTTTGGAAAATGTTGAGTTAAGCAAAGTTAAACAGATTTATTTACCAGAGGATTTCATAACCTTTAACCTATTCATGTTCATTATGATTCTCCAAAAAAAGACACTACAGTTGACCCTTGAACAATGGAGGGGTTGGGGTGCCTAGCCCCACACAGTCAAAAATCTGTATATAACTTTTGACTGTCCCAAAACCTAATTACTAATAGCCTGCTCTTGAGTGGAAGCTTTACTGATAACATAAACAGTCAATTAACACATGTTATATGTATTATGTACTGTATTCTTACAATAAAGTAAGCTTGAGAAAAGAAAGTGTTACTAAGAAGATCATATAGAAGAGAAAATATGTTTACGGTATTGCATTGTAAAAAATCTGTGTATAAGTGGACCCACGCAGTTCAAAACTGTGTTTTCTCAAGGATCATCAGTGCTAACCATTCAACATCTCTCAGCACTGGTGTTCTAAGAAACCCAGTTTAACAAACACAAACAGACAGTAAAAATGAGGGCCAGATGGGCTGGTGATCTAAGGTCGCCATGTGAGTCAAGGGCAAGAAGCATATGGCCCACTTCCTAGAAATCAGAGAAGTTCAAGGAATCAAACTCAACAAAGCCCCCTCTCCCTGCCAGAGGATGTGCTGTCTCGTGCTCTCTTCCGCTGGGCTGAAACTTGCACTGGAGGCTTGGTTAACTTTCAGTGTCCTGATGCTAAGTCCTGGGCCACTGCTGAGGTCACCCTAAGTGTCCCTTGGCAGGGCTGCAACTTACTGCTCGGAGCCACGAGTCTTACAAGCAGGGGCTACGGTAGCCGACTTGGCTCACACAGAAAGGGTAGCAGCCGACCTACCAGCCCAATATCCGACCGGCTCTCCCAGAGGCGCACGAGGGCCACTCTGGCCACATCTTCAAACACGGGGTCACCAGTGAGGCTGCTCAGGGTGGCAAATTCCACAATGAAGGTCCCGATGCCTGCCGTACAGGTGACAGGGGTTTCTCCCGGGTTCACACCATGAAGCAGGTTCACTGTCCCATACGGCATGCCAGTGGGGGTCTGAAATGCTAAATAATCACAAAATAATGATCCCAGACAGGAGTGGGGACATAGGGATGGTTCAACACTCAACCAGCACTTCCCTCTCTATCTCCTGGGTGATCTGCTACAGATGGAGCCAGAGAGGGATAGTTGTCACGAATACAGGCCCTTGGTGGCCACCTAATCCAGATGCTGTCAAGCATTGATCAATGGGACCCTTGGGCTCTTGCCCATGATGAGGAGGCAAGCAGCGGGCTGTGCTCCAGGCTGCCACGCCCATATATGCCCACTTGGGCTGGAGCAGCTTCACTTTTAAGTATGTTACACGATGCCTTCAGAGGCCAGGCAAGTAACGTAGTGGGAAGCACGTAGGGTTTAAGCTGGAGGAAGTGGAGGGGGCTTGTGGCACCCTGAAGAGCATGCCCCATGAGAAGCCATTCATACGCTTCTCCGTTTTTGAGTTTATTGAGATATAATTGACGTATAGCATAAAGACCTGACTTAACCTATATGGTGAGATGATGAACACAGTAAGTTAACATCCATCAGCTCGTATAGATACAAAAAGAAAACATTTGGTTTTTTCCCTTGTGATGAGAGCTTTTAGGATCTACTCTCTTAGCAACTTTCAAACCTATCACATGGCAGTGTTAGCTACGGTCATCACATTGTACATCACAGCTCCAGTACTTATGGATAACTGGAAGTTTGTATCTTTGACCACCTTCGTCCGATTCCTCTCATATGCTTTTCCAAACACAATTACGACCAAATGAAACCTATCTGCAGACCTGGAGCAGTCCCACAGGAGGCAGTTTGAGATCCTTGCTTTAAATAGTTTAGGGGCTAAACTATTATCATTTTTTTTTAAAGGATATAAATCGCTAAACTACTAATGTGGTCCAACCCTCAATTTATAGGTAGGAAAAGTCATGTCTGTAAGGAAGTGACTCAGAGGTCATATAAAGAGAGCCAAACAGAGCTGGGATGGGAATGCCTGCCATGCGCCCACTCTGTTACGCTCTGCTCCTCCCACCCTGGTGCCTTCCAACTCAAGGCGAGGAGCTAGACAAACAGCCAGAGGCAGAGATTTCCTCTCTAGGCCAAAAGGTCAAATAACCCCAGAGCAGCCCGTGCGTCACCAAAGTTATGAACAAAGTTATCAAACTTCCAAGAACCACAAGGCCCAGCCACTTGACTGTAAGTGGCAAACTTGCTGTGTGGCAGGTGCAAGTGGCAAGCGAGGAGAACGCAAGTCACAACCACAGGGCTCACAGAAGCATTTCAGAAAAGTCAGGCAGTGTCCAAAAGAGGGGGAGTGACAAAATCCTATTTCTTCACCTGAATGGCAATTCCATGGGGGCTTGCTCCAATATGTACTTTCCAATATGTATATTTCTCAATACAAAATGATTCTTAATGACCAAAAAAAAAAAAAAAAAAGGGAGCAACGAAGCAGTGTGCTACATGGATGAATCACACAGGATATGATGTTTGTAAGGGGACACGCAGGCTATGGGGCTGTGAGCCCTGAGTGGATCTGAACCCAGCTCACTCACTTTCCTCCACTCTTCTCCAGAAAGGGAGAACTGTGGTGGCTGAGAGGTTGATGAAAGCCTAGAGTGATGTGTTTGGGTGTGAACAGCCCCAGAGTCCCCACCACACCCTGAAGAGAACACAGTGTCCAGCTGATGCAGCCGAGCTCAGCTACTGCCCCACCAGACAAATACACTGAGGCTTGGCCCGCAGCACTGGACACAGCTTAGCTACAAAACAAGTCCCTTGCGTTTCAGTGGTGTCTGAGGTTCTCCAAGCACTTTCTTCTTTCTGACCTCATTTTATGCCTCTCAAAAAGCCAGTGTGGCAGGCAAGTGGGAATTATGATTCCCTTTTGATAGATGGGGAAACTGAACCAAGGAGAGAAGAGTGGCTTCGTCAAGACATTGGCTAGACCAGAATCAGGGGCTCCTAACACACAGATCGAGGTTCTTCTCTGGAACCCCTTTATCCCAGCAGTGTGTGGGCCAGGGAGGGGGCGAAAGGGCTCTCTCAAATAAGAGCAAGAGCCTTCCACCCACCAGGCTGGCCTTCAGTGCCACCCTGCAAACAGTAAGGAGGTCAGCTCACCCATCCTGGGCCAGGGTCCCAGCAAGCCCTGGAAATGCCCAGGACTCTCCTGATTTCCATGGTGGGTGCCCAGAGGCAGAAATAGCAAGTGTTCGGGTGAGAAACAGCGGTAAGTAACTCAGCATTGCCACTCTGGTCTCCAGCAAGAGAAGCAGGACCTCCTGGACTTCCTTTCTGCCCCACGTCAGTGGGGGTCTTACCTGGGAGGAGTTTTCGGGCCGCCTCCTCAGCCATCCTCAGGAGAGGCCCAGAGCAGGGCCAGCCGGCCTCCACTTCCACCCCAGCCTTCTTTGACAGCAGGTGAGCAGACAGAAGTCCTCCTACCACTACAGAGAGTACAAAACACAAGCGTCAGAGTCCCAAAGACCAGTCTTACCCTTGTGTAAATTAACCCTGCATGCTCTGTTGGGTGGCTGCTGGGAAGGGGCTAGAGCCACCTAGTGAAAGAATCCCTTAGTCCCACATACTGGTACACTGTTAAGTTTACAAAGTTTTTTTTCTCTTGGTAGGTCCCCAAAACAATAGCTATCACTTGTTTTTAGTCCCTGTTGTATACCAAGCACTAGGTACTATTGTCCCCTCTTCAAGTGAAGATACTGAGGGTCAGAGAGGTAAAATGACTTGCCCTGGGTCACCGATCTAGCAAGTGGTAGGGCCAGGTCTGTCTGACTCCAAAGCCTGTGCTCATTCCACTTGGTCACTCTGTCTCCCAATCCCCTCCGAGACCTGGGCAGGGTGGGGTGGGACGGGGGCGGGGGGAGGCAGAGTAGTTACTACTTTCATTGTATTAATTCATCTATTTGGATTTATGATATAATATTTAGGACTTATGGAACGACATAAATGTTCTGTATCTGGAAATATGGCTAAATAGATATCCTGAATGGCCCTCTCATTGAAAAAAAAATGGTGACCTTGAGCTTCAGTTTCCCCTTTTCCTGTCAGAGGGGGAATAAGAAACAAAGGCAGAACCTACCCAAAGTGGAAAGTCTGATAAAAGATACCTCCATAAAGTTGGGATCTGAAAGAATTATATAGTCTGTATAAGGATGGGTTAAAAATAAACCCTATACACCTCCCCTAGCATACAGTAAGGAAATGCCTTAGATCTTGATACCAAGTAAAGGGAAGGGGGTGGGGGGAAAAAAGCCTCCCTAAAAATTAGTAACTTCAGGCTGGTACTCACTAAGTTTTACAGCTTGAATTCACACTAACTGAGTAGTCTAGGAATACTCAAACCTTTGGCATAAAGCAGTTTTTGGGAAACAGTACCTCCAGCCAAATGGCAGAAGTAAACAAAAACTCTACCTGGAAGAACCCACCTTCAATCTAGGCCTCAAAGAAGCCCAGAGATAAAGTCTAGGGAATGAGTGTACATTAAAATCTAAATAAATCACAAAACATACAAAGAAACAAGGCATTGGGAGTACAAACCAGCAGAAATGACAAGAGAATAAGACTTACCAATACATCAAATGTTGGAATTATCAGACACAGAATACAAAATAATTATGTGGAAATGTTTAAAGAAATAAAAGAAAGGTTTGGAATAGGCAAGTAAGTAGCAAGAAATTATAAAAATGACCAAGCTTATTTACAAAAGAACCAAATGGAATTTCTAAAAGTGAAAAATATAATAATTGGAATTAAAAATTACATAGATAGGTTTAATAGCAAATAAGACATATCTGAAGCTCTCTTCAGTGGACTAGAAGACAGATTCCAAAAAATTACCCAAAATGCAACAATAAAGAGACAAAATTGTTTTTAAAATATACCAAAGAGATTTGGAGGATACAATAAGAAGGTGTAACATCTCTCTGGGTAGAGTTCTAAAAAGAGAAGAGGGAGGAAATGGGGGAGAGGCAATACTTGAAGAGAAAATAGTTATGAACTTTTGAAAACTAGTGAATAACACTGATTCTCAGATCCAGGAATCCCAAGCAAGATAATAAAAAGAAATCCACATTTATGCACATCACAGTAAACCTCAGAACACCAAAGGAAAATAAAGCTCTTAAGAGCAGAGTCCATGTAACAATGATTATTGAAATTGGATGTTGGGTACATCTATTTCATTACATTATTTTCTCTATTTTTATATATTTTTGAAAACTTCCATAACAAAACGCTTTTAAAAGGAGGGGGAAGCCAGGATAAATAAAACCGATCATCTGCAAAATAATAACAATTAGACTGACAGATTACCTCTTAACAGTGGCAATGAAATGAGAAGACAATGGAAAGATTTCTTCAGTGTGCTACGAGAAAATCCCATCAACTTAGAACCATACATTCTGCAAAATTATCCCTCAAAGACCCAACAAAGGCAGGGAGATAAAGACATTTCATATAAACAAAAGCTGAGAAAATCTGCCAAGAACACACCTGCACTAGAGGACTTTCTAAAGGAGTTGCTTCAGATAGAACGAAAGGGATCACAGATGTAAAGTCTGAGACACAGGAAGGAAAGATGGTCAGAGAAGTGGTAAATATATGAGTAAATCCAGAACCTCAACTGTATAGAAGAGCAATAATGTATGGAGGGCTTAAAACAAAAAAACTAAAATACATAACTATAGCATACAGGTCAGAATAGTCTCAGAGCCAGGTTTTGTATTATTCAGGAGAATAAAGATTGTCATTAACTCTAGACTTTTGTTACGTTTGTTAAATTTTCCAGGAAAACTATTTAAAAAGCAAGATACTGAGCATAGTTTCTACATTAGTAAAAGGAACATGGAATAAGGGGGAAAAAATATCAATCTGAAGAAGGCACACAAAAAAAGGAGAGTGAAAAAGAACATAGAGAAGATGGGACAAATAGCACAAAATAATACCACAGAAACGAGTGCAAATACCTAAGTAATTAGAGTAAACGTAAACGTAAATGGATTAAATGCTTCAGTTAAAAGAAAAGATTGTCAGAATGGATAAACAAACAAAATATGTAATTTATAAAAGATCTATATCTGATCATAAAAATACGGAAAGATGGAAAGTGAAAGAGTAGAAAAAGATCCTGGTCAATGAACCCCACCAACCAAAAGAAAGCTGGTGTAATTATATTCATATCAGCAACAAAGGTGTAAGGGAATCTTAACTCACAGACGATAAATTGGACTCAGAAGCTGTGGAACACAGCAAGCAGTGAACATGGCCTCGAACTCAGGTCTGATCCCTAAACCAGGATTTTGTATCATGCTGTCCCTCTGCTCCATAATCTTCCTAAAAATGTTATCATATACCTGCAATACAAGTTTAATTGCAAAACACATACAAAATAAGGGGGAAAAATATAACTTGGCCTCCAGAAGTGACAGTTTGTTAAGCCACTGGTGGTCTAGGGGTTCACTGAAAATAAGGGTTGTACTAGCTTCATAAGAATCACTGGAAACCTGATAATAATATTGTTACTAGGACCCAACCCAGAAATCCCAATTCATTAGGTTTAGAGTGGAACCTAAACATTCAGCTTTTTTAAAGGTCCCAAGTGGTTCTGATGGACAGCCAGCTTTGGAAACTAACGCCCTAGACTTGCACTGTGTAATGCGATAATCATGAACCACATGCCACTATTTTTTTTTTTAAGATTTATTTATTTGGGGCGGGGAGGGGCAGAGGAAGAGAGTGTCTTAAGCAGACCACGCTGAGTGTGGAGCCCGACGCAGGGCTCATCTCACGACCCTGAGATCATGACCTGAGCAGAATCCAAGAGTTGGACACTTAACCAACTGTGCCACCCAAGTGCCCCCGTATGTCACTAAATTTAAATTTGTTAAAATTAGATGAAACTAAAAATTCCATTCCTCAGTTGCAATAGACACATTTCAAATGTTCAAAAGCCATGTGTGACTAGTGGATACATCATTGGACAACACAGATACAGAATATTTCCATCATCATAGAAAGTTCTATTGGATAGCACTTCTTAGACAATAAGCTCCAAGAAGGCAAGGGTCACATCCTTCTTGTTCATGGCTGGCTGTAAGCCTAGCGCCAAATATATGTTAATAGAGGAGTCGTTCTGGCACATTTCTTTCCAGTCTTTTCTCTGTCCCCTGCTCATGTCTGAAACTGATGGGGGATCCTAAGACCTCCACACCCCACCCTCTGGGGGGAACGATCTTTGTCAGTCACTGGTTTGGGCCGAGTGCCCTGGCAGGGTTGACACTTATGATCCTATTTACCACCTCTTGGTTTACACAGAGGCAAAACTCCACAATCTCTTTTCTTCCAAAGGCCGTAGAAGGCAGCCCTCACCTCGGATGTTGGTTTCAAAGACGGAGGCATTCACATCAATATCAAAATCTATGTTGTCCTGGAGCACTTCAACCACTCTTTGGAATTCCGAGACATTCCCCAAAATCTGGAAGGGAAGAGAGACTTGACAGTGAGGCTCCCTCAGGCTTTAAGGCACTGAAGATGTTGGATCAAGAGTCTGGGATCCTATGCTGGTGTGGTTCTCGCTTATTCAACTTAAGACCTCCAGTTTCTGTTCTAGGACTGGTGACAGGAGAAGGAAACACTGAGATCTAGAAATCACCCAACACCAAGAGACTGGTTAAGTAAATTCTTAGGTACAAATTCAAGTCACTATGTACCCACTTAATGGAAACAATATAGACTATAGACCGCATTAGGAAATCCTCGTTTGACATTTGCAGTGGGTATCTGTTGTTTTCAAACTTCTCTGGTCACCTTCATCCTCGTGGAAAACACTTCAGGTTGGTTGGTCCAACACTGATTTCCAATCTCTTTTACCCTGGTAGCCTCCCTCTATAGAGGCTGGAAATCCAGATACTTGCTTTCTCTACCTCCTTTGCTGCTAGAGGTGACTGTGTTACCTAAGCCTTGAGAAAGGGAAAGCTTCTGTTTTCCTAATAAAAAGACAGACACTGCTGGCATGCTGTTTACTCTTCTTCCTGCCTTGAGAGCAGACTTGATTTCTGGAGCTGTGGCAGCCATTTTAGACCTTGAGGTACTAAGCATGAAAATGAAAGCCAGTACACTAATGATGGTAGAATGGAAACATACAAAGAGCCTGGTCTCTGATGGCACAGTTGAACAGCCAACCCCATGCTAGAAATTACCTCCAGACTTCCTTTCACTTGAGAAAATTAAACCCTCTTCATTTAAACCGTCAGCCAAATGTGATTCTAATACTTTTTATTCTGATAGTAGTACCCTAATTCTCTCTTGAGGAATCACTCTTCTTCCACAGCCACTCCTGCAGTTTGGGAGAGGCTGACCCCATCCCCTCAGCTGTAAGAATGGGCACTTGATCTGGACCACTGTACTGTACCCCTTGGCCAGTGACTGGTTCAGGAATAAGTGTGCGGCCCAAGCCAGATCAATGAGACTCAGTTCCTGGAATTAAGGCAAAAGGGCTGATTCTTCCCATACACACTGAGTGGGAAGTCTGGAGCTACTCTTGGCTACTCTGCCAGCATAAGGAGAGCCCGAGAACACAGCCAACAAAGGAGGCAGAGCTGAGAGATGGACACTCCTGAAGACACTGTTCGTATGCCTGGATCCAGCTGAGTCTGAGGCCAGGCTTTACCTGGACTTTTTAGTTATCTGACTCAGTAAATTCCCGTCTTGTCTCTATCAGTTTGAACTGGGTCTCTGTCACTTGGAACCAGAACAATTCTGACTACTCAGCATTCAAGGCATTCAATGATGTGGACTCAACTTTTTTTTTTTTTTAAGATCTTATTTATTTATTTGAGAGAGAGAGCACGAGCAGGGGGAGCAGCAGAGAGAGAGGGAGAAGCAGACGGTCCATGGAGCAGGCAGCCTGATGCGGGGCTCGATATCAGGACCCTGAGATCATGACCTGAGCCAAAGGCAGACACTTAACCGACTGAGCCACCCAGGTGCCCCTCCACCTACCTTTCTGACCATGTTTCTCATTGTTCGTCTTCATCTAACCTAGCCTCATCTACTTCAGAAAAACTGTACCCACTTTGCCCCAGTTTTTTGGCTTGAGACATGCTCTGCCCTCTGCCAGAATCTCTCCATCACGTGTCTTCCCATTTCCAAATCCAACCTGGCTCTGATTGTCTGAATGTCACTTCTCTAGGAAGGAAGCCTCTGATTCCTTCAGCTAAAATGAACCTCTTCATCCTTTAAAAGACTCCATTAACTTTATCCACACAATTCTTACAGCATCTGTTTCTTTCCATATTAAGAGAATCTTTGCCTGGGAAGGAGCCTCATTCATCCCTGCCTTCCTCCAGGGTGCCAAGCATAGCCCATGGAGCAATTCTCAACAAATGCTTACTGAATGGTGACATGAATCTCTTTCCACACTGCAGTTAGTGATCTTCTCAAAACAGAAATCTCAGCATTTCCTGCCCTCTACTTAAAATGTTTCAGTGGCTTTCCATTGCTCTCAAATTAGAAATCAAAATCCTTACCATAGTGAACAAGGGCTTCCATCATCCTGGTCCCCAGTGAGGCCTCCAGCTCAACTTTGCTTTCTGTATTTCCTTCTCCACATCCCAGAAATACTGGCCCTCCTTCAATTCCCTGCGTCTGCCACACTCTCTCCTGCTGTGAGGCCCTTGCCTGGAACACTCTGTCCTCCCCCACTTCCCTAGTCAACACTGGCTTCTCCTTCAGATCCCAACTTGAAGTATCACTTCACTGCCTTAGGGAAATCCTCCCTGACCTCCTCAATCTAGGTCCGCTTCCTTTGTTACATGACCACTCACAGAACCATGTTCTCTTCCTTCGGAGCACTCACCTCAATTTGTAATTCTATGTCCTTAGGATTATTCTTTGGTTCTTTGTCTCCCTCACAAAAGTCATAATTCCAGGAAAGCAGGGACCATATCTATTTAAACTTACCACTATAACTCCAGAACTTAGCACTGTGCTTGGCATACAGGGGGCCCCCAATAAATATTTGATGAGTGGACAAGTACATACAAATTAACATTAAGGGAAAAAAGGGGAAATTATATCTGCAAGGTGATCACAATCATGTAAATGCTATTAATATATAAAAATGAGAAGACGTGACAGACAACCAGAAATCGTGAAGTAGGGAGAAAGTTGTTAATTATATCTTCTCCTGTGGCCTTTTTAAGGAGGACAATTAAGACTTGGCATGATACAGGGTCACCTGGGTGGCTCAGTCGGTTAAGTGTCTGCCTTTGGCTCAGGTCATGACACCAGGGTCTTGGGACTGAGTCCTGCATCGGGCTCCCTGCTCAGCAGGGAATCTGCTTCTCCCTCTCCCTCTACCCCTTCCCCCTGCTCGTGCTCTCTCTCTCCCTCAAATAAATAAAATCTTCAAAAAAAAAAAAAAAAGACTTGGGAGTCATACAGAGTTAAGCTCAAGTCCTAGCCCTGCCATTTCACAGCTGTGGACCCTGGCCAACCATTTTACCTTTCTAAGCATCAGATTTCCCCAGACTAAGAAGGAGTAAAGGTATGTACCTCATGGGGTTGTTGGAAGGATTAAACAAGATAACACATATAAAGTGCTTAGCACAAGCCCTACACATAACACACGAACTAGTTACTGCTAATATTTTTTTTATCACGAACATGTCCAGTTAGAATGCAAGCCTCTGAAAACAAAGAGGGTCTCAAAGTCTCCATATCACCCACAGTTATATAGGCCTATCCCAGTGCTGTGTTCATAACAGGTCCTCTATAAACGTATGCTGAATAAATGACCCTGAATACGTTTGGAATTCATCCTTTTCCTCTACCTAGCTGGGCAACCAGAACCTGATGGTTCAGAATCCGGAGATAAAAATAAAAGGCCTAAGTAAAGAATTTGTTTTTCACCCACAGTCAAGCTGCCAAAAGAGGAAGGATCTTGGTTACACAACGGTGGTGAGGAAAAGCAATTGTCAAGACACTTACCAGCAAAGTGTCCAGGGCATCAATTAGCGTCAGAGAAAAACTGTAAAAGGACAGAAATCCCAACTGCTTAGTAAGAAAATCAAACACAAGATAGTAAGGCTGCCCCAGATCAGAGACCCCAAAAAATAATAAGTGAGGCACAGCAATGCCTCTCCTATCTCACTTCCAGTCACAACAGAGAAGCCAGACTGAAAATTGCCAAGAAGCTCTAACCCATTTAATGCACCTGGGAGGATGGGCTGATATTGCTCAACTGTGGTTAACCGTATCATCTATATGGACCGGCATTCTTCTCTGCCATAGGGAGGCAGTGTAAGATTGTAGCTAAGGGCACAGGCTTTTCCACATCTAGGAATTTATCTCAATGTGTACAGAGCTGTATGTTTGAGAATGCTCATGGCAGTATTGTGTAGAATAGCAAAAAGTTAGAAGTAACCCAAACATACACACAGTTGAAGAGCGATTATCTAAATTGCAGTACATTTAAACAGTGCAAAACTATGAAGTTGTCAAAAAAGATTGTTATCAAGAGTTCTATGGGCTAATGTTAAAATATTCAAATTATATAGTTAAATGAAAAAGACAAGGAATAGGATAGGCAGTGAGGTATGCTTCTATCTGCATTTTCAAAAGGAGACGTATAGACAGAAAGCAGATTAGCAGGTGTTTGGGCCAGTGGTGGTGGAGGGATCAACTATAAAGGGGCACAAGGGGACGTTTTAGCATGACAGAAATGTACTCTATCTTGGCTGTGATAGTGGCTATTATATGTTTTAAATGGGTTCATTTTATTATATGTAAGTTATGCCTTTACAAAGCTGATTTAAAAAGATACACATACACATACTTATATGATGGTATAAACAGAATATTTTGGGGAGGATACACAAGAAAGTCAACAGTGGTTGGAGTTGTAGGGTATGGGAGAGACTTACTTTACTGTATATGATTTTGTACTGCTCGAATTTGCCATTTGCTTACTTCTCTTTTTTTTTTTTTTCAGCTAACAAAAGAAAACCAGCACAAATTTTGTTGAGTTAACTTCTCCCATTCTTAGCATACTAATTTGTTAAGTGGAGAAAACAGCACTTAACTCCTAGGGGTGTTAAGAGAATTAAATGAGAAGACACAAGTAAAATGCTCAGCACAGTGTTTAATCGATGTCAGCCTCAGCTAAATGCAATGATTCTTCACTCACTCAGCAAGAAACAAGACAGAGAATTCCATCTCATGAATTTTTATTCTAGTGGAAGTGAGAAAGACAAACTCGCAGACAAGTGAAAATGGTAGTATCAGAGAGCGAGAAGTGCTACTAAATAAATAAATAAATAGGGCGATTTGCGAGAGTGACCTGTAGGGGGTGGGTGGTTAAGGGAGATGATGCTGAGGTGACATTTTGCGCTGAAATCTCAAGCAGCAGTCAGTAATGTGAGTGTGTTTCAGTTACTAACAACAAATGCTCTGAGGTTTCAAGTTTGGAAGAGTTACACCCCCTCCTGGGCCTGTTTGCCCAATTATAAAATGAGGGCCTGGGTCTTCTGACTTCTTGGAGCCCTTTCTCGATAGCCTAGGACTCCAGAGATTTGTCCATGTGTCCAAGTCCCCACTGCTGGTGCCTGCTACTGTCGTGGTTGGAGCCCAGAGGTCCAGTCCACCAGGCTAACCCAGGCTTTTTCCACGGTGGGATCCAACTCTCCAGGAGGCTGGGTGGATCCTGGCGGCGCTGCCCTGAATTGGAGGGAACGCGGCCTCACCCTCGCTAGGAGCTTTTCCGGAACTGGTGAGGAGGCCGTGAAGCCACCAGCCCCAGGAGACCCGCCCGCCTAGGGCCGGACTGCCACACCCAAGCCGCCCCCCTGCTCCTCCACTCGCACTACCTGCCCCAGGTGTCGTGCCCGTCACAGGTGAGAGGTCGCAGCTCGTCGTAGGGAAAGGCATTCTCCAGGTAGCTGTCGTAGGCGTGGTAGAACATGGCCTTGACTCGCTCCCTGGTGCGGGGTACAAGAAATAAGGCAGGGGAAAGGACAAATAGGGCGGAAAGTGGGAATTACCGCCTGAGCCCAGTGGCGGGGTCCGAGCAGGTCAGGGTGGGGGCTCCTGGGACTTAGGGAAAGGAAAGGGACCGGGTCTGCGCTCTCCCTTCCCCAACTATGGAAGCGCCAGGACCCTGACCCCCTTCACCTGTAGTGAGCGGGGTCGGGCGCGGTGCCATCCGGGCCTGGCGCACCATGGTGCAGGGGCAGCAGCGCACACAGGAGGCCGAGCGGGACCAGCAGCCGGAAAGGCATAGAGCTCGTGTCCTGTCAGCGCCGCCGCCGCAGCAGCAGCCACCGCCACCCGCTCATCCTGGGAGCCTCTGCCGGTTGTTCCGGGAATCCGCGCCACTGCGCCTGCGCGCTGATGAATCAGTCACCCACTTCCGGACTACAAGTCCCAGAATATAATGGGAGGTGGAACCCAGGCAAAGAGGCTCTTGGGACATAACAGGCCCTGAGGCGGAAAGGAACGTGGCTGAAAAACGGTGGCTGCTACAGATACTGTAACTAATGTTTTAGTAACAGCATTTGTTGAGCACTTATTGTGTACTAAAACTGTACTGAACTCTTTAAATACTCTCAGTTCTGGAGGCCAGAAGTCTGAAATCAGTTTCACTGGACCAAAATTCCTCTGGAGGCTCAAGAGGAAAATATGCTCCTTGCCTCTCCAGCTTCTCCGGGAGAAGAGAAAGTTGCTGTATTCTTTAGCCCGGGGCCATCTCTCTCCAATCTCTGCCTCTTCCTCTGTGGGTGTTTCTCACTACTCCCTCCGCTTGTCTCTTATAAGGACACTTGTGGTTGCATTTAGGTTCCACCTGAGTAATACAAGATAACACCGCCCCCCCCATCTCAAGATCCTTAACTCCATCACATTTGCAAAGACCCCCTTTCCAAATAGTGTAACAAGTACAAATTCCAGGGATTAGGACCTAATTATCTTTAGGGGCCATTTTCCGGCCTAACGCAGGTACTAAACATTTTTCAGGTCTGGGCTTTTCCGTGCTATAAAAGTTACCCAGGCTTCATCATCCTTCCCTATATACATCCTGCAGCTGATCTCTTTGTCTTTCATTCAAAATTCTAGTGTGGATAAAATGTTTCTGGAGGGAGGGGGGACAGGTTGCTGGATTTGGTAATGCTAGTTCTGTTTTTTAATGAGCAAGATTGAACTACTCATAATTTTTCTTTCTTTTTCTAGCTTGATTAAAATGTGCATTTTCTACACTGTCACAGAAAAATACAACCATGATTTATATTTTCACAATTTATGTGGTTGATTTCATGGTTTCCTCATGAGAAAAAACTTTTTTTTAGTCTCTTGAAAGCACTAGGACTCTTGCCTCCCGACTCTACCTCTTACCCTGCAAGGTTGTAGTCCACCAGAGAAGTGTCAAACTTCAGAGTGAGTTGCCTAACCTGTCTGAACCTTAATTTCCTGATCAAAAAATGGAATTGACAGGGGCGCGTGGGTGGCTCAGGTCATGATCCCAGGGTCCTGGGATCGAGCCCCGCATCAGGCTCCCTGCTCCGCGGGAAGCCTGCTTCTCCCTCTCCCACTCCCCCTACTTGTGTTCCCTCTCGCTGTCTCTCTCTCTGTCAAATAAATAAATAAAATCTTTAAAGAAAATGGAATTGACAATGCCATAAAAGATTTCTGGGGATTAAATGGGAAAAAATGGAAATTTCTCAGCACAATGACTGGCACATATTAATTTCTTAATAAATATTTTCTTCCCTGCCCCCCTATTTCTCTTTAAAAACAAGGAGAGGTGTATTTATTAGTTCCATTTATTGAGCATCTGCCCCTATTTTTTCCCACATGTTTCTTCCTTTTTAAGCTTCTATTTAAATTCCGATTAATTTACATACAATGTTCTATTAATTTCAGGTGTACAATATTGTGATTCAACAGTCCTATACAACACCCAGTGCTCATCACAAGTGCGCTCCTTAATCCTCATTACCTATTTCACCCATCCCCACACCCACCTCCCCTCTGGTAACCAGTTTGTTCTCTATAGTTAAGAGTCTGTTTCTTGGTTTGCCTCTCTCTCTTTTCTTTCCCTTTGCTCATTTGTTTTATTTCTTAAATTCTACATATGAGTGAAAACATACGGTATTTGTCTTTCTCTGCCTTATTTTGCTTAGCCTAATACTCTCTAGCTCCATCCATGTTGTCGCAAACAGCAAGATTTCATTCTTTGTTATGGCTGAGTAATATCATATATATATGTAATATCATATATATATATATATATCATGCAGAAGCTTTTTTATTTATTTATTTTTTTTTTAAATTTTTTTTTAAGATTTTATTTATTTATTTGACAGAGAGAGACACAGTGAGAGAGGGAACACAAGCAGGGGGAGTGGGAGAGGGAGAAGCAGGCCTCCCGCTGAGCAGGGAGCCCGATGCGGGGCTCTATCCCAGGACCCTGGGATCATGACCTGAGCCGAAGGCAGACGCTTAACGACTGAGCCACCCAGGCGCCCCCAGAAGCTTTTTTAAAAAAGATTTTATTTATTTGAGAGAGAGAGAGCGCGCACCAGCAGGGGCAGGGGGCAGAGGGAGAGGGAGAAGCAGACTCCCCGCTGAGCAGGGAGCCCTATGTGGGACTTGATCCCAGGACCCTGAGATCACCACCTGAGTCGACGGCAGACACTTAACCAACTGAGCCACCCAAGCGCCCTCGTGTAGAAGCTTTTTATTTTGATGTAGCTCCAGTATTTTATTTTTGCTTTTGTTTTCCTTGTCTCAGGAGACATATCTAGAAAGGAGTTGCTATGGCTAATGTCAAAGAAGTCACTGCCTGGGACATCTGGCTGGCTCAGTTGGTAGAGCATGTGATTCTTGTTCTTGGAGTCATGAGTTCAAGCCCCACCCTGGGCATAGAGTCTACTCAAAAAAAAAAAAAGTTACTGCCTGTAATCCATTTTGAATTTATTTTTGTGTGTGGTGTAAGAAAGTGGTCCAGTTTCATTCTTTTGCATGTTGCTGTCCAGTTTTCCCAACACCATTTGTTGAGGAGATGTTCTTTTTCCCATTGGATATTCTCTCCTACTTTGTCGAAGATTAAGTGACCATATAGTTGTGGGTTCATTTCTCGGTTTTCCATTCTGTTCCATTGATCTACGTGTCTGTTTTGTGCCAGTACCATACTGTTTTGATTACTACAGCTTTGTAATACAACTTGAAGTCTGGAACTGTGATGCCTCCAGCTTTGCTTTTTTTTCCCAAGATTGCTTTGGCTATTTGGGGTGTTTTCTGTAAACCACATAAATTGTGAAAATATAAATCATGGTTGTATTTTTCTGTGACAGTGTAGAAAATGCACATTTTAATCAAGCTAGAAAAAGAAAAATTATGAGTAGTTAAATCAAACTTTCTAGAGTTTGTTCTAGCTCTGCGAAAAATGCCTTTGGTATTTTGATAGGGATTGCATTAATGTGTAGATTGCTTTGGGTAGTATAGACATTTTAGCAATATTTGTTCTTCCAATCCATGAGCATGGAATGTCTTTCCATTTCTTTGTGTCGTCTTCAATTTCTTTCATCAATGTTTTATAGTTTTTAGAATACAGGTCTTTCACCTCTTTGATTAGGTTTATTCCTAGGTATTTTATTATTTTTGATGCAGTTATAAATGGGATTGTTTTCTTAATTTCTCTTTCTGCTGCTTCATTATTGATGTATAGAAATGCACCAGATTTCTGTAGATTGATTTTGTATCCTGTGACTTTACTGAATTTGTTTATCAGTTCTAGCAGTTTTTTGGGGAGTCTTTCAGGCATTCTATATATAGTATCAGAACATCTGCCCTTATTAATCCAAGGTGTTATAGGCAATAATTTCTGCCTTCAAGAGTTTGATGGACAGTGCATGGCATACAATGAAAATTCCGAAGTAGTCAGGCCACAGTCCTTTCCTTTGAAGTGCTTGCAATTTTGATAAAAAGGAAAGATATCCATTGGAGAATGCCTGGAATCATAGAGTGTCAAGTCTTCTTGTGGGTGAATAGAGTTTGAGGATGCTCAGATTGTATCAGTCCCCAAGGTGAATGTTTTTGGTCTCCATGCCAAGCAGAATGAGCCTTGGACTAGTGATCAAAAGCCCTTGGTTCTATTACTGGTTTAGCCATCATTTCTGTGTGATCTTGGGTCAGTTGTTTTCCCCTGTGGGGATTCAGTTTCCATATCTGGATAGGGAGAGAATGAGACTGCCTCTCAACACAAGGAAAATATTAACAGATTCATGCAGAGTTACTGCAAAAAAAATTGGAAAACAGAATTCCGCACATATCAACTGCAGAATTTTCCCCCAGGAACAATCATAAAGCCAAATAAAACTATAGGACAACAATCTAAATTAAATTTGACTATTTTCTATCTGAATAATAACCATAATAATGCTAATAAGAAAATGGCCAAAATATATTGATAATAGCAAGTATTTATATAGCAATTTACTATGTTCCAGGCACTGTTCTTAGTACTTTACATGTATCGACACTGTTAATCCTCACCACAACCCTCTGAGACAGTATTATTATCATCATTTTACAGATTTAAAAGAAATAGAAGCACACGTTTTAAAAATTGAATGAGTGGTAGAGCCAAGATTTGGCGCCAGTCTATGATGAAATTAATGACAAATGTATAGATAAAAGGCCAATACAGAATTTAAAAAGTAGAGATTTGATTGACTTCTGCAATGTCCTCTGGCTTTAGCTGCATATGAGTCTACATTCAACATTCCCTTTCTTTTTGCTGGAAAGTCAAGAAGTTCAATTCCCTGAAGCTGGAAGTCAAGGCACTTTAGTTCTCTTTTGAGCTGGTTCTCTTGGCTACTTTTAGCAAGGAAGTATCTGGGAATTCCCTTTCTAGCATCTGGGGGCCATGTGGTTCAAGCGGATTCAACCAACTCCCAGAGCAGAGCTTGTATGCTACATATTTTGGGACTGCCAAGAAATTACTAGTTTATCTCTGGGAAAGTTTCCATCTGTTGCTTTGTAGAAATGTTTGAATTTCCACCGTCTCCAGCACGTCCATGCATTTAGAACAATGATCCTTGGTCAGAGCCCCAGAACGTGTTTTATAATGCTCCTGTTCCAAGTGAACTTGGACCTATGGCAATCTGCCTAGAGAAATCTAGCCATCCTGGGTGTATTTAGGCAAAAGTATAGAATCAAGAAGTGACCAGAGATGGTCTCATAATCTGGTCAGTCCCAGGTCCTGGGCCAGATTAAAATCTTTGAGAGCTCAAGCCTTGAAAATGGCGTCCATCCCTCATGTGCAATTTAAAACAAAAATAATCCTATACTATAAAATTAATGGAGGCAGTAGG